TTCATTGGCTAATCAGTGAGTATATGCAAATTAACTGTCAGCCAAGATGGCGGCCAGCAGCCAGGCACTGAAGCGAGCATGAGGCTTGCTTGCTGTGGACTCCAACGTTCCCCGCCTCACTTGCCGGCCTCTCAGCTGCAAGTCTAAGCAACTATGTACTATGCTGCAAATAAGAAGCTAAACAAAACCCCAGAAACCAGCCGGACTGAAACCCAGCCGGACCGAAACATTGTATCGATGTTTTCAGCAGTGAGGCCTCAGAGCTAAAGCTGGCCCAGAATTAAAAAAAAAAAAAAAGAAAAGAAACAAGGGGCGGTGGGAAGCTTTAGTCACTCGCCAGCTGGAAAACAGCCCTCAGCCCCTCACCCAAGACTGGCCAGGCACCCCAGTGGGGACCCCCACCTTGATCCAGGACACCCTTCAAGGCAAACCAGCCGGCCCCCACCCGTGCACCAGGCCTTTTTCCTATATAGTAAAAGGGTAATATGCCTCCCAAGCCCCGGGATCAGCGGAGCAGTGAGGCTCCCGGCACCGGGATCAGCGTGACAGGGGGCAGTGCCCAAACCCCCTGATCCCCCTGCGGCTCTGTGTGTGACAGGGGGCGGGGCCACAACCTCCCTATCCGCCCTGCTCTGTGCCTGATAGGGGGGAGCTCCCCAATCCCCTGATGGCCCTGGGGCCTGTGCTTGACAGGGTGCGGCGCCCCAACCCCCCCCCCCCCACAGGCCCTACTCTGTGCCTGATAGGGGGGGGCTCCCCAATCCCCTGATTGGCCCTGCTCTGTGTGTGACAGGGGGCAGCGCCCCAACCCCCCAACCCCCCAACCCCCCGGCCCCATGGGTCCTGCTCTGTGTGTGACAGGGTAGAGCCATAACCTCTCCATTGGCCCTGCCCCAAGTGTGACAGCGGTGGCGCCCCATCCCCCTGATTCGCCCTGCTCTGTGTGTGACAGGGGGCAGTGCCCCAACTCCCCTATGGGCCCTGCTCTGTGTGTGACAGGGAGGAGCTCCCCAACCTCCTGATGGGCCCTGCTCTGTGTGTGACAGGGGGCAGCACCCCAACCCCCTGATTGGCCCTGCTCTGTGAGTGACAGGGGGCAGCGCCCCAACCCCCTGATTGGCCCTGCTCTGTGAGTGACAGGGGGCAGCGCCCCAACCCCCTGATTGGCCCTGCTCTGTGAGTGACAGGGGGCAGTGCCCCAACCCCCTGATTGGCCCTGCTCTGTGCGTCACAGGGGGTGGTGCCGCAACCTTCCCATCGACCCTGCCTTGAGTGTGACAGGGGGCAGTGCCCCAACCCCCCAATCGGCCCTACCCTGAGCATGACTGAGGATGGCATCGCAACCTCCCAATCCGCCCTGCTCTGTGCATGACAGGGGGAGGCGCCCCAACTCCCCAATCGGCCCTGCTCTGAGCCCGACCAGGGGCTGCACCTAGGGATGGGCCTGCCCTCTGCCACCCAGGAGCAGGCCTAAGCCAGCAGGTCGTTATCTCCTGAGGGGTCCCAGACTGCGAGAGGGCACAGGCCGGGCTGAGGGACCCCCCCTTCCCTCCCGAGTGCACAAATTTTTGTGCACCGAGCCTCTAGTATAATATAAACTTTTAAAAACTACATTCATCTTGTTTGCTACTGAATACTAGTGGTCTGTCAAGATCTGTTCTCT